AAGCACATAAATATATTCTGCAGAAACATAATAGTCTGCTCTAGCTCATCAGAGTTATTTCTCTTTCATATCCATATTTATCCTTTTCAGGAAATATCACTTTATATTTTATAGGTCACATAAAAGCCTTTGACTGTATGAATCATCAGTAGCTATGGGCTACAAATAGGTGTTTTAGGACAGAGTGCAGAGAAAGAAAATGGCTTACCATAAGCAAAGATATCGGACAAGTGTGTGTTTTATCTGTTCTGTCTGAATGCAGAACATATTATATAGAAAATTTGGACTAGGTTTATATTAAGGAGGAATTACAATTGTTTGAGGAAATATTTATTATTAATTTATTACTTTGATTTATATACCGCCTCATTCGTGTCAAAGCACTATTCTGGGTGGCTTACAGACAATTTAAAAGAAACTACAGAAAAATAAATATAACAAAATAACAAAAGCATGGTCTAAAAACTTAAACAATGGTGCAACCAATTTTCGAGGAGAGGCAAGACTGGAGGCAAGGCATTCACCCATGGTAGATGTGAAAGGCCTCCTTGAATAGTAGTGTTTTAACTACCTCCTAAATGAATACAGGGAAGAGGCCAGGTGTTGGGAGTTGTTTCCATAACATAGGTGCCACCATCGAGAAGGCCCTACCTCAAGTAGATGAGTTTCAGGCCTTTCTTGGGGTGGTTACACGGAAGAGCCCAGCCTGAGAGGATCTGGTGGGTTGGGCAGATGACATTGAGAAAAGACACTCCAACAGGTAATGTGATTCCAAACCATGAAGGGCTTTATACGTGAGTGTCAGAACCTTGAACCTGATCATATTTGTTATTGTTTTCAAAATCCCGTTTGTGTATGAATTGTACTTTAAATAGTATTGTTGCTTATGTTTCTTTCAGGCTCCTATTTGTTTATAGTTATACATAGTTTGTGTTTTTGTCTTTTTACCTGCAGATGGGGAAAAAGCAGATATTTCGGTGAATATGTACGAAGACATCAATATTATCACAGGTGCACTTAAACTGTACTTCAGGGACTTGCCAATTCCACTAATCACATATGATGCCTACCCAAAGTTTATAGAGTCTGCAAGTAAGCATTCGATGAAGCTGTTTATCAACTGAAAAGCGTGTGTGTGTGTGTGTGTTTGTGTGTGTTGGTTTTTATTGTCTAGGTTTCTTATGTTTTATGAAACAGCCAAATAATCCAAGTCACCCTTAAGCTCATTGAGGTCAACAGCTTTCTTGGCCAAGAATATCTTGTTATAGCAGAACGATGGATGGCGTCGCCCAGGCAGACAGGCTTTTCCACAGTAATCATGTCTTTGGTTCTGTGTCAGTGATATGTGGCTCCTCTTCAGTTTTTGTCCATGGCTAAACTGATACCGAGTGGCAGTACCTCTGAGAAAGGCAGAGAATAAGACAGGTGGCTAAGTTCCCCTTCTTCTGGAGAGGATGGCCACAGTGGGTTTTCTGCATGAGGGCAGGGTGTCGTAACTCTTGATGTAGCCACAGGGACCTGGATGGACCGAATTAGTGCGCAGCTTGGATGCCCCATTCTCAGTGCGGAAGGGGTGTTCACAGCCAACAGCCTTCTAGCTAATACACATTTTGGTTCATTTTTTGAACCAAGAATTGTATTGCAAAGCTTAGAGAAAGATTTTTCCGGGAAGCGTGCATTTACCTAACAGTGTAAATGACACAAAATTTTTGAGCACTCTAGCACAAATCTCTTCTGTGTGAGGCGTACCGTGTTGTGATAGGAACCTATCACAACCGTAGTTGTGATAGGAAAGCAACCACCAGCTCTAACAGTGTAAATGACACAAAATTTTTGAGCACTCTAGCACAAATCTCTTCTGTGTGAGGCGTACCGTGTGAATTAGGTAGTTGTGATAGGAAAGCAACCACCAGCTATGTTCCCAGATAGATAACATTAGCTGTGTAAACCAAATAAAACATTTCCTTCTTCTATGATTAATGTTAAGCTCAGGTTCAAACCCCTTATGTTTGCCACAGCTATTCCTCCTTCTGATTTTACCTTTAAAAAGGACATGGACAGATGGAATTCCATAAGAGTTAAGATATCTCTTTGGTTTTCCTTTTGTCTAATTCTCTCAGATGACAGTAGAAAATAGCTATATTAAGACATGGTTATGTGGGAAAGACATTCCTTTAGTTTTGTTTTCTGCATCCTTTTGCTTAAATCTGATGCCCCTATCTCCATTTCAGAAACCACAGATCCTGATGAACAGCTGGAGATACTTCATGAAGCATTGGAACTACTGCCACCTGCACACTGTGAAACCTTACGTTATCTCATGGCACATTTAAAGAGGTACAGAAATGGAAGATCCTGCACTCAGTGAATCTGGTTATATATTTTCAGATTAGCTTAGTCTGGAATTACTTGGTTCTTTGAGGCCACAGGCCATATCCTGCATCGTACAGGTGGACCAAAATCTTACTGCTTAGCATAGTAAAGCACACTAGAAAAGATCCATTGAATCAGTTGAGATTTAGTGAGCTAGCTTCTCGGGACATTTCTTTGATCCAGATGAACCTACGACGTACTATGCTAAAGTACCGTATTTTTCGCTCCATAAGACGCACCTTTCCATAAGACGCACCAATTTTTAGGAGAAGAAAACAGTAAAATATAATCTGTTTTCTTCGCTCCATTCCATTGAATCAGTTGAGATTTAGTGAGCTAGCCCCTCGGGACATTTCTTTGATCCAGAGGAACCTACGACGACGTACTATGCTAAAGTAAATCTCAGTTACAGGAGGCCCATTTGAATCAGCGAAACTTTTGGAAGAGTTGGTTTACTGAATCCCCCCTGTTTTGTGGGGGGAAAGTGTGTCTTATGGTGCAAAAAATACGGTAAATCTCAGTTACAGTAGGCCCATTTGAATCAGTGAAACTTTTGGAAGAGTTGGTTTACTGAATTCCATTGATTTCAGTGGACCTACTCTAGTGTAATTTACTAGGCTAAGCAAGAGGAGTTTGTCTGTAATCTTTAAGAAGAGCCAGGAATAAGAAAGATAAGACAAAGGGTGATGCTGCCAAGCAAAGCCTTTTGAATGTAAATAAAGATATTAATTGGTCTTTGTTCTCTGTCACACCAGCACTTAAGTGACTTCTGTCCCTTTTGATATCTTAAAAGCCAGCCTCCCCAAGAGACATGTAAGTTCCATTAATCAGGTGTTATGTTGGCTATTCAAAGCATAACCTATATAGCTTAGGACAGCATTTACTTAGTGTATCTATGCTTCTCTCTTACTTTGATCGTGCATATGTGGATCCCTAGAACTAGCTGTTTCTCAGTCTTTTAATATTTTCCCATTGTTATTTGCAATCTAAATACTTTGGCCTTACCTTTAAAGCTTGGCTAACTTGCATTTGTTATTCTGCTAGCTACAGGATATTTTTAAGTGGTCTGTTCGACTGGCCAAGATGTGGCACTGTTGAGCATGTCTGCAAAAGCATTGTTTCAAAATTGAAAGATCCTTTGACTTAAAACTTCCTGATTGCTGTTATGCAGTTATAGATAATCAGTTTCTGAGGAAGGATGGGAATGCCCTCCACCCTGCCTCACATCCCTGTCAATAAAAATAGCTACATCAAAACTAATCCAAGAGTGTTTAAGACAGAAACAATTTGGATATGCATGATGAAGAGATAAAGATTTCCTGCTGAGAATGTATCACTCAAATTCACTTCAGTCTTCTGGGGAAAAATTACCATGTCAGAGATGGGGTGCAAAAGTAACTTCATGAAACTTAAGATTTAAACTGGCCACTTGCAGGTCAATAATAAAATGCAACAAATATTTCAAGCAAATTGTAATGACTGAAGTCCTGTTGCATAACATGCCTGAAGGGTGATGACATCACCAAAAGGGTGAAGTTTGACATCACCAAAAGGGTGAAGTTTTTACTATTTAAAAACTTTATCCTTCTGCCCTGCAGCTTGTCTGACTCCCCTGTCACCACTTTCACCACATGGAAGCCGTAGGAGCTGCAGGACAGAAGGAGGAAGTCTTTAATTGCCAAAAATCTCCCCTTCTGGAGACGACATTACCTTTCCACAGGTGTAAGTTATACAACAGGATTTGAGCCAGTACATGGTGAATGTGTTGCTGTGAGCAATGGATACTTAGAAGGTTGGAGAACTTCATAGTTCTGCACAGTAAGAGCTGAGATAACATCTTTCCTGGAGATGCTATAATGCTTTCTTCAACAATTTCTAAAAGTAAGTGGAAAGAGCCAAATCTTCCCCTCCATGTATTCAGTAAAATGGGTACATTGAAGTATCGTGCACTTCTAACAGCTAAGGAGAGAGTATATGTGAATGAGAGAAAAAGGGAGGTTGTGAACCAGTCATTTTCTTTTCTATGTTCCTTCATGTTCTTGCTGAATAATTGTAACTGAAAAGTAATTCCAGATTTCCAGCGGGGTGATCGGGGTGCACATTGATTGAATACCACATATTATTTGAGATTATTTCAATGAGAAATAAACAGGCTTAGTTCCTAATTTAAATAAATCCTAAAAATGATTTCTAGGTTTTCCCATGTAAATATTAATTAGCATGTACAAATGTTATGCAGATTTGTCTCACAGTATGATGGATCCCAAATCTTTTAAATGCTTAGCAACAACCCAACATAAGGCATCACTTACAGGGATGCTCACTCAGATATCTGAAAGCGAGGAAACAGCCAATAGAGTCTTACTAAATTCAGTTGGGGTCAGCCAGTTTACTATATTCAGAGTAACTATAAATAGAAATTGCAGAGGTTGGCCAACTTGAGAACAGTTTGCTTAACAACTACCAGTTCCTGGCAATCATTAGAGGTATCTAAAATGATTTAATTCCAGACAGTGTATTTAAGAATTCCTGACTTGGGGGTGGGGAATAATATTTTGTTCATAATTCATGAAGTTTGGGACAATGGCTATTTAGTCATTTATATTTAATATATCCTGGTAAGGCTTTATTTTGAGTTGTAAGTCAGTAATATACATTAGAGCTTTTGCTTAATCTGTTCACAAACTAATTTACAAATTCTAACTTTTACCTAGAGAGGCAGTTAACTGCCATAAAGACAATCACAGAGTCTCAAGACAGCAGTTTGCATTCTGCATCTTAGAGCAGAGAACAGGGAAGAGAGCCATCTTAGCAGTATCCTGTTTCCCTGAAAATGACCCCTAACCTGAAAATAAGCCCTAGTATGATTTTTCAGGATGCTCGTAATATAAGCCCTGCCCCAAAAATAAGCCCCAGTTAAGTGAAACCCCACCCTCCACCACTGTGCAGCAACCAGAAAAAGATGATGACTGTATTTGAATAAATGTAGATTGATATACATGAAACAAATAAAACATATGTTGACAGTCATATCCAATTAGAATTTGTCTACCACGTTTTAGGGGACATGGTAGCCCTGTGGGTTAAACTGCAGAAGCCTCTCTGCTGCAAGGTCAGAACACCAGCAGTCATGAGATCGAATCCATGCGAGGGAGTGAGGGCCCGTTGCTTGTCCCAGCTCGCGCCACCCTAGCGGTTCGAAAGCATGCAAAATGCAAGTAGATCAATAGGGGCCACCTCGGTGGGAAGGTAACAGCGTTCCGTGTCTAAGTCGCACTGGCCATGTGACCATGGAAGAATGTCTTCGGACAAAACGCTGGCTCTATGACTTGGAAACACGGATGAGCACCGCCCCCTAGAGTCAAACACGACTGGGCTAAATGTCAAGGGGAACCTTTGCCACTTTTAGTAGCCATCACCACCACACATTGTTGCACAACTGACGTAATTAACATTCTGCTATGTAATGGGATACTTCTTTTTGCCTGCCTTGAACCTCTCCCCATCCAGCTGCATCAGATGACCCTGAGTTTTAGCATTGTATGGCAGGGGAAAGGACTCCCTTTTCACAGCTTTGACTTGATAAAGCAGAGGTCAACAATTGCTTGTGACAGTTAACTACAAGCCAGTGCAGAAACCCAGAGGGATGCCCCATTCTCTTGGTGCTTATCATTGATGACCATGTATTTAAACCTCACTGAAGACGAAAACGCCCCTAATCATGCCTTGATGGCTCCATGTTTTGTGTTTCCGTCCATCCCATTCTGCCAGCTTCTAGCCACTGCTTCACAAAACAGGCTTACCACAAGCCCTGGAGAACCACCATTTCAGTAACTAAGAAACCTTGGGAGTTAGAGTTCTGTGAGTGGGTTGCAGTTGCAGCCATGACAACTGTTTGAAGCTAAGTTCCGTACACGATGTAGATGTGGCTCTTGTGTTGTTGTGTTGTGGTATGAGGATACCAGCTCCTAACATCTGCTGATGACTTGCCATTTAACCCTTGCCTTCTTTGTTCCAGGGTAACGCTCCATGAAAAAGAGAATCTCATGAACGCTGAGAACCTTGGGATTGTTTTTGGGCCAACCCTAATGCGAGCACCAGAGCTTGACCCAATGGCCGCCCTGAATGATATCCGTTACCAGAGACTTGTGGTGGAGATGCTTATAAAAAACGAAGATATTTTATTTTGAACTTCTTTTGTTGAGTGGGGGGGCGCGCACATATGATTTAAATGGAAAGCAGTGGAGATCTGGGGATGATGAAGGAACATTTTGCAGTCACTGAGCCAGCTTCTGTCGCTACATTCCGGTGGTGAGGTTTCAGTGTAGGAAAGATGCTTCTTCGCTTGCCTCTGTGACATTGTTCAGACCACGTTGGGAAATGAAGGTAACATGGATTGTACTGTCCAGTACTGGCAGGTCTGGGCTGTTTCAAGGTAGGACAGGGAATCGAAGTTTGGATGGTCTGCTTCTTGCTCATCCTCTCTTGTGAGGCTTCTCGTGTGCAGGACACAACAGAAACAGCACAGCATCTGTCTTCTGGGATAGTCTGTGATTGTACTCTAGCATGTTTCTCTGTGTAAATCTGTTGTGGTTTTCTTTTTATGCTCTGTAATTGGTTTCTGATATTTCATGCAGGCGAAGGAAAGCAGAGTGCAGTGGACCAAAGCCTGCCTCCTCTCGTTGACATTGCCTCTTCTTCTTTTCCTATGTTGACGGATGATTACTTCTTAGGTTCCATAAAATTTCTTTTAAATGGTGGAATACATTTTCTTGTATTGGAAATATATTCTGGCTGCCACTTTCAAGAATGCCTTTTTTGTGTGTGGTTCCAGTTAAAGATGGCTGTGTTGAGTGAGTGTGGATAACTTTGTTGGTGGTTGTTCTTAAATTGTCATTTTGTATTTTTATTGGGCATGCATGTTAATTTATTAAAATTTTGCATTAGAACCATAACACGTCTGGCTACAAGGTTTATTCTCCCAGGATGACAGTGACTGGGGACATGCATCCCTATCCCATACATATTTGTATGAGACTGACTAGTGGCCAGTAGAAGCTCTAAGTCAGTCTCAGTTCAGTGAAGCTTATATGGAAGCACTGTATTTTTCTGTGTATAAGACGCCCCCATGTATAAGACACCCTCCACTTTTCTAATCCAAAATTAAGAAATCTAAGTGGGGCTTAGCAAGTGTAGAGGGAAAGGGATCAAAGCCCTGCAGGATCTCCTTCATCCCTGCTTTCCCTTCCGCTTGTTTTTGTTCTCTCCTCAGCTTACTTCCGTGTATAAGACGACCCTCAATTTTTATTCTAAAGATTTTAGAGAAAAGTATAGTCTTATACATGGAAAAAATACAGTAAGCATGCATCTGATTAGAGCAATTTGCAGTCTCCATGGCCTTTTCTCTCCTCCCCCCCCCCCAAAAATCTTCCTCCTTTGGTGCAGTGCCCAATGGGGTTTAGCTGTAAGTCTTGACTCTTAGAAAACCATTGTTCTGTCCCAGTGTTGTCCTGGTAAAACAAAGCAATGGACAGTCTAAAAGAAGCAGAGCTACCTGCCTCTGTTGTAGTTGCCTACAAGTGGACAACATTTCAACTAGAGCAGAACAATCCTCCGGTATTGGTGTAACTAAAGCAGAAGAGAATGCCGCTGATGCAACTGACACAATATTTGCATTACTACACTTCCCTGCACCATAAATTGGAGCTAACTGTCCTTCCTTGCTCCAGAAGCAGCTGCACAGGAATAATAATCCTAGTAATTGTCAAAACAGTTTCATCAAGAACATTTCTTTAGTGATTTTAATAACTAATTTACTTGGGATCTTTTCCAATTAAATGTAAAAGCAGTGATGTGTGAGCCAGCCAAGTTCCGACACACAGCTAGCAGTCCAAAGCTAAATGACTCCAAATCACAACTGAGGTTTAAATTGTGCAGTGCCAACCTCACAAAACTCACTCTTCACCTTTCAGAACAGGAGGAAATGACCTAAAGTGATAAATTATTCATTTGGCAATGTCTGCTATAGTAAATTATGCAAATCAGTTTCTACCAGGACTTCTTCACTTCCTCTGATAGGATTATTTTTACATTTGCAGAAGACCTTTTCCTGCAACCCTCCAAACTCCTCCAGGGTAGCCTGGAACTTATTCTTGAGTTGGCTGCCTCTCCCCTCTCTCTCTTTTCCCATCTAACTCCCTGCTCTCTTGGGCTGGCGGCCCAGCCTCTGCCTTCTACGGATTGTTACCCTTCACAACAAGGAAGCTACTTGCACCCAGAGTACCCACTTCATTTGCCACCAGCAATGCCTTGGGTTGTTTTCTGGTGGCTGAGTCTGATACCATTGGGGAGGTGGCCTAGGTCCTGCCCACACTGGAGCACCTTCTTGCAGTGCATGGACTCAGCCATGTGAGCCTCTGTTGCACACGGTTGAAAACACTTCCAGATTACTGACTTCTTGAGAGCTCCAGGTCCAGTCTTCACGTTCCTCACAGGGATTGCTAACTCGCCATCACTACTGGCTCTGGCAGCTGGTGGAGCAAGTGCTGATGGAGGGGCAAGGGTGATTTCAGTCTCACAGGCTTCAGAAACGGTGCCCACCAGAGTCCCCTCAATCTCCCTCTCCCCCACATCAAACATGTACTATATGCACTTGAAAGGGACTTCCCACCAACCACAAGGCTGCTTTGCACAGGAGACGTTTGCTGGTTAGGCGGGGCTGGGGGGTAAATCCTTCCTCGAATAGGATGCAGCTGCATTGTCTGGATATGGAAGGGAATGTCTTGTCCGTCCATCTCTTTCCCAACCACAAAAGCAGCTGCACTGCAGTCACCCAAGCCGACAGTCTGAGTGCTGATGCCATCCGCTGGACCATCTGCATTTCTCCCTTTAGCAAGCAGAGGCCTAATCTTTTGCTTTCTAGCCTATAAGAGTCCATGCGACTCTGAATATTAGGAATCATTATTGGAGATTTGGATTTGGATATATTCAGAACTATCTGAAAATGGCATTATTTGGTGAATTCTGGATATTGCCAAATCCCTACTAGAAAGTCTCACTTTGTGAGCATCATTCCACCACTCCATATGTACCCCCCCCCCGGAAGTGAGTTTTCCCCATCAAAGCATGCTACACTGTATGTGCCGTTTGCTTTGACAGGTCCTGCCTGTCTGCTGTATATGCCATCTGATCTACAGGCACAAAAGATTGTCCTTCAACATCAGAGGTCCATAAACTGGCTGTTCCCCAACACCTGCTTTTTTCATATGAAGCAAGACTAAAATGTACAGGTCTTTTATGTTGTTTTAAATGCAGTTCTAAAAGAGCATTTAAAAAAGCACTTAGGTTCAACAATACAGTGGTCCCCAACCATGGGCCTCCAGATGTTCTTGGACTTCAACTCCCAGAAATCCTGGCCAGCAGAGGTGGTGATGAGTTTTACTCCAAGAACACCTGGAAGCCCAAGGCTGGGGAACACTGTTTTAAATTACTTGGATCCTATGAAACATTGCCATTTCTCCTCACCTCATACTGTTTGCAGACTCTACTGCCCACCTCTGTATTCACACATCCCACTTGTTGCTTGATCCAGGGCAGCAGAGATGAGTCTGAAGAGGTGCTGGCAGGTGGGTCTTACCCATGAGCAAGAACCCAGATGAATAGGCACTTCTCATCAAACACATCGCTCCTAATTAGGAGAATGTGACGAGGTGAGAGAAGGGTGGAGGAGTGGGTCACTTCTCGCTTCCTGTTTTGATCACACCAAGAAAAGGAACATGGATAGGGGTAGGGCATTCACCGACATTTCAAAGACGGAGGAAAAGGTTTTGGGACATGGGCATCCATAGCTTCTTTACACATTATGTGAAAGCCAGGTGGTGCCAGAAAATATCCAAGATGGCACTCCTAAGAGGAAATGTTAACAGTAAAATTGTGTTGGATAGTTTCAGCAGAAAGTTTCATTGCTCACTAATGGAAAAAGACCTACTTAAACTGATGTAAAGGCTCTGCTAATACTGCAGAACAATGCTCGCAGGACAGGATTATGAAGCTTTGAAAAGAAAGAAATCTTGGTATATTGTTGCAAGGAGAGGTGAGATGCATTTAGACCTCAAGCAGGCTTTTGGGAAGTCTGAGTACTCCGCTCTCCAATGATTCGAGATGGCACAAACCTCTGGTTTGTGTTTTGTTGTTGTTGTTTTGTTTGTTTTTTGCTGAACACGTGTTCGGTGCTTCCTAGCTCCGCCTGCTCTGGCAGGCACCCACTTAGAGGCAGTGCCCCAGTGGGTGAGTGGGCATTCACTATAGGAGGTATAGCAGGAAAACACTGAACCACTTGTTCAGCTGAAAAATGGGTGATTCGTGTCCATCTCTACCCATGACCCTTCTTCATTCTAAATGGAAAACCACTCTCCTTTCTCCTTGTTTATAACCGAAGAGAGTCAGGCTTCTCCAGTTGCCTGTGGCCTATCAAAGCTGGGAGAAATGAGATAAATGATCATTGAACAAATCTGTACACATGCTTAAGGCAATCCTATTTCTTCCTTGAGGGGTAGGAAATACGTGATAGAAAGATTACTGTTCCCTTAAGAAGTCTGTTCCTTGCAATCATTTCACTGGTTCTTTGATCGATTGATTCACTGATGGAAAATAGTTCTGGCCAAGCCCTCGGGGACATTTGAAAATATAAAACAAGGCCCATTGAAAAATAAAACAAAACCCAAATATTGCAATAAAGGCAAATCCTTTACCTCTGAAAAAGTAGGCTGAACTTTACAGAAGCCTATGACAAATAAAACTGGTATGTCTTCAAGATACCCGATGAATCTTCGTTCTTTTTCTTACAATAGGGTGACTCCTGTCCTTTGCTCTAACAGTCGGCGTGGGTTGTTCCACAATCGGACGTAGTGTAGACTAAGAAGGGTGTGAACTGTGGCCTGGCTGCTACCTATACTGTATGCATCTGTTTTTTTAAAAAAATCTGATTCATAGGGTTTATTTTTTTATCCCTCATTCCAAATAAAGCTTTATTGGAATTTACGAGGCTTCTTGTGTGAAGCTTACCTCTCTGTTAATGCTTTCAGATTTTCAGTCCTGAGGATTTTCTCTCCTTCTGCAGCAGCCTTTTAGATTTCGTAAAATGCAACTCTAAGCAATGAAGCTGGTGGTCCCAGATAATGAAAAAATTCAGGATACTTTAGCAGTGCAGCCCATTCCAGCCACCTAACACTGTGCTTTTTAACATCTTCCTTTTGAACAGTCCTGCCATGAGGAGGCAGTCATTCATGACCTTAAAGGGGGCGGCATCTTCCAGCTGCCATGGACATACATAATTCAAATCGTATCGTTCAAAGCAAGCTGTGCCGGATTGTTTTAAAGTTGGTCTCTTCCTGTAAACTGCCAGTATTAGATGATTTTGACTCCCATATATTGATGTGAGGGATGCTCTTGGGATTCTCCACTTGTGCGTGGAATTGATAAATCAAGTTCTCTAGATAGCTCAGTGGTTTAGGTATCTGGTTGGGAGCTTGATTCCCCCATCTGTGCCTCCTTGACAAGGGCTGGAGCTGATGATCTATAGGGTCCCTTCCAGCTCCACAGTTCTAAGAGGATGGTGGTGTTTAACCTTCCTTCCATTTCTTTCTATCCTTTATTCTCCTGCTCTAGGCAGAGGGATTTTCCTCTCCTTTTAAAAAAGGTCATGTATGAAATCCTTTTTGAACGGTGCAGTATACTGACGACTCTCCTACTCAGAGCAGCTAGCAAGCAGAAAGGACCATACAGAAAATAAGGGACATTCCTATCCATTGGATTATTTGCAGAGTCTGAAATTCTGTTGATCTTCAGCACTAAGAAAAATCATTTTTATTTCACTAGGTCTTTAGCTTCTAATACTTTCAATAAATATGGTGTAATTGCTTTTGGCTATGTTGATTTTTCTTTATTTTAT